ATTTCTTTAAAGTGTATGTATATCCAAAATGTTTTAGATAGGAAAGCGTTAAAAAACTCTGCCGAGTTATTATTTTGCTGACTGTGTGCTATTGAGGCACTTTATATTTACTTCTTATCCCAGAATGCAACAGGACGTTAAAGGAAATCTCCAAAAGTGAGAAAAATTACCCTGTTAAACAGTTGTCCCAAAACAGTCATTGTCCTCTTACCTCGTATCCTGGGGACGACTAAAATTTTGTATTTCCCTGACTTTCTTTCTCAATGACAATGGTAACCAGGACAAATGGCTAGGGCGAATCTCCCCAATCAAGACACTTGACATAGGGTCTGAATCTTCTCCACTCTGTTAAAAAATTTGAAAAAAAAAGTTTTGCCTTGAAAAAAATACACTTTAAATATATTTGGAAAAAATCATATAACAGTAATCTAGATGTATAACACACAGTATGTTCTGCATAGTAAACAAAAAAAAATAAAGCTGAATAGTGCCTGCTACTCACAAATGCGTCACCTGGTAGGGGTGTTGCAGATGTGATGGTGGTGGGCCGAACCCTCCTGTTTGCCCTCTCAAGTGGAACTAAACTATATCTGAGCACCAGGAACTGAAATTTGCTATTTAATTCATTTTTATTTTCAATGTAAGTTCACCAATTCATCAACTCCATGCTTATTTTGTTGAGAAGTCACTTTAAAAAATACCCCATAGCATCTACTTCCTGGAATTCATTTGCCTTTAGCTCAGGCATGCAGGCAGGAGGGTGTGCTTAGCTGAGAAAACCCCTCCTCCCCTCTTGCAGAGGGCAGAAACCAGGAAGCAACTGAAAAAAACGTATATATAATATACCTTCCTATTTACTAATACTAGCAGCATAAGGATTAAACATAGTTAATTTTGATTGAGAGAGTTTAGTTCCACTTCATACTTTTTAAAAGTACTGTTTGAGATACTATTTTTTTTTACTAAATACAAACAAATATAATTTATTCCTAAAATAAACATTTAATAAGCCATAGGATTTCCAGAGAATTATGGAATGTTAAAAAAGAAAAAAAGAGCATAAACTCCCTGCTTTCAGGATCACTCTGTCTTATTAAAAACTCAGAAAGAGCTGTCAGTTATGTCACTGCTCTGACTCATTCACTTATCTGTCTACATTTCAGCTTGAGCTATTCAGCTTTGTAAACAACAAAGGCTCTAAAAAAGAAGAGCAAAATACTTAACATGAACCTAAAGACTCAAAATATTTATAAGCAATATTTCATATTTACCAGAAATAAATAGATATTGTTTAGTACAGTTCACCATAAGGGCCGGTTAGCACCAAAATGCAGTGCAGGAAAGGCACAGTCCTTCCACATTTCACACATCGCAGATTTATGTGCTGCCTTTGCAATCTGCATGCAGGTGCCAATGAATTATTCATAGCACCCCAAGTGCATCTCACAAATGCAGCATGTTTACAAGCACCAAATGGCATGGTACCGCAGTACCATGTGGTTTGGTGCAGTGTGGTTTGAAAAAGTAGTGCTCACTTTCAAGTGAATGGGCTGAAAAACCAGATCACAAGGGAATGAGCTGGAAATGCACAGGAATGCAAGAGAAATCTTTACAGAATAAGTATACATTCTCTATAATCATAATCGCTCTACATTCTCTTTAATGGATGCCTGTACTGAGTATGGAGACTTGCCTGGTTGTCTCTGGTTTTAGTACAGCATGTAGGTCATAAAAAGCAGAATGTGGTCAAAGTTCCTCCCTACTAGATAGGGAGAAGTCAGTAATGGCAGCCTCCATGCTTTCTCTCTAGTAGCATCCATTAAAGAGATTTTCTATGTCAGCTTAAGGCCTAAAGTGGCCCAATAACCTCTTACGTTTAGTTGCCATTTATAGTGGTTGTAAACCTGAGACACGAAATATAAACAAAGCATATTCCTATATAGTGTGTACTAATGACACAAGTGTCATTTCTCTCTGATATCGGCATTAGTCACTTCTGACAAGTTTTCCTAACACCAAGAGAAAAAAGGTGACAAGGGAGCTCCAGCCTGTGATTGAGAGACTGAGCTCTGTTCCTGTGTGCTGTGTGAAGGGGTTGGGGGGGTGTCTCTTCCCTCCAATCAGCTATCAGAGCTCTCCTCACTGAGCTCTGCAGAGTGTAATTTCCACTCCCTGACCCCTAACTTCTGGAAGTTCAGACAAGCTTTATAAATTCTGGACTTTGAATGACTTAGAGAACTGAATACTGTAGATAAACAGCAACTTATGTAAGAGGATTTGTTTTATCACTGTGTATCACCTGAGGCCAGTCACTTCACTGGGTATATGTACGGGTTTACAAGCACTTTAACCACATGCCGCCCAGCCACTGTAGAAATACAGCGGCAGGGCGGCACGGCTGGACAAAACCACGTTTTAAAACGTGTGTTTTCAAAACAGGTAGGGGGCGCGCGCACGGCGCGCCGCCGTCCTGCCTGTCCCGCCAATCACGGCCGCGGATGTCAGTCGGCGGGTCACAGCCGATCATTACTGGCTATGTCCCGGCGATTAGCGGCAATCGCTGACAGAGTGCACAGCTGCAGTAGCTGTGCTTTCTGTCAGTTCCCTGACAGTTCCTGACACGCTGATCGGGACAGAAGAGTTTATCTCTCCCGATCAGCGTGTCTCTGTGCAGTACACACCCCCGTCCCCTAGTAAAACACTCCCCTCACACAGTTACCTCTTTCACTGAATATTAAAGTTAACCCCTTTCTCCCCAGTGCCATTAGTACAGTGTCAGTGTTTTTTTTTTTGCACTGATCACTGTATTGGTGTCACTGGGGATGTCAGTGACCCCAAATCAGTTCTGCCCCAGTGTCAGAATGTCCGCCGTAGTCCCGCAGTCCCGCCATAAGTCACTAATCGCCGCCATAAGTCACTGATCGGCGCCATTATTAGTATAAAAAAAGATTAAAAATCTCAGTATCTTTACCACCATTTGTAAACGCTATAACTTTCACGTAAACCAATTAATATACACGTATTGGGTTTTTTTTTTTAGCAAAGACATGTCGCAGAATACATTTTGGCAGAAATTTATGACTAAATTTGATTTTTAAATTTTTTTTTTTTACTGGACATGTTTTGTAGCAAAAAGTCCAAAATATTGTTTTTTTTTCTCAAAATTGTCAGCCTTTTTTTTTTTTATAGCGCAAAAAATAAAAAACACACAGGCGATCAAATACCACCGAAAGAAAGCTCAATTTGTGGGAAAAAAAAGGATGTAAATTTCATTTATGTACCGTATTGCATGACTGTACAATTGTCCATTAAACTAGCACAGCGCTGTATAGCAAAAAAATGGTGTAAATTGCAGTATCTATACAATAGTTTGTAGACGCTATAACTTTCACACAAAGCAATCAATATACACTTAATTGGGATTTTTTTTACCAAAAACATGTAGCAGAATACATTTTGGCCTAAATTTATAACTAACTTTGAGTTTACTATATATTTGTTATAGCTGAAAGTAAAAAATATTGTTTTTCTTCAAAATTTTTGGTCTTTTTTTGTTTATAGCGTTAAAAAATAAAAAGTGCACAGGTGATCAAATACCACCAAAAGAAAGCTCTATTTGTGTGAAAAACAGGACGTAAATTTCATTTGGGTGCAGCATTGCATGACCGCGCAATTATCAGCTTAATTAGTGCAGCGCCGAGTAGCAAAAAGAGGCCTGGTCATTAAGGGGGGTAAATCCTCAGGAGAGCAAGTGGTTAAACTGATTCTAAAGGCTTACAATTAAAAAAAGAATAACAAACATGTCTATACTTACCTGCTCTCTGCAGTGGTTTTACACAGAGCAGCCCAGATCCTCCTCTTCTCAGGTCTCCCACCGGTGCTTCTGGACCCTTCCTCCTGTCAGGTGCCTCCACAGCAAGCAACTTGCTATGAGGGCACCCGCTGCTTCGTGTCTCCATTCACACACGGAGCTGCAGCTCTGCCCTGCCCCCTCTCTCTTCTCATTTGCTTACTAGCTGTGATTGACAGCAGTGGAAGCCAATGGCTTTTGCTGCTGTCTCAGCCAATGAGGAGAGGGAGTCACGAGATAGCCAAGACTCTAGTGCACATTGCAGGATCGAGAGGGGGCTTAGGTGAGCATTAGGGGGGACTGGGGGGGTTCCTGCACAGAGAAGGTTTATTACCTTCCTGCATATAATGCATGAAGGTAAAAAAACTTGAGCCTATAGAACCACTTTAAATTGTGGATGGAGAAAATGGAATATGTCTGCTGCTACTTCTCATATACAGAATGAATGTAAAAAAAATATCATTATGACATTACATCTACCAATAAGATCCAAGCCTGTCTTGGAAGTATGAATGTGATTACTGATGCAGAAGGCGATAAACTCCTTCATCCATCCTACTGATCTTGCAAGGTGGTCTGTGTGTGTTGTGGATGTGTTAGATTACTCAGATTACAGTACACTATATTGCCAAAAGTATTTGGAGGCATACATGAACTTTAATGGCATCCCAGTCTTAGTCCGTAGGATTCAATATTGTGTTGGCCTGCCCTTTGTAGCTATTACAGCTTCAACTCTTCTGGGAAGGCTGTCCACAAGGTTTAGGAATGTGTCTATGGGAATGTTTGACCATTCTTCCAGAAGTGCATTTGTGAGGTCAGCCACTGATGTCGGAGGAGAAGGCCTGGCTCGCAGTCTCTGCTCTAATTCATTCCAAAGGTTTCTATCAGGTTGAGGTCAGGACTCTGTGCAGGCCAGTTAAGCTCTTCCACCCAAACTAGCTCATCCATGTCTTTATGGACCTTGCTTTGTGCACTGGTGCACAGTCATGTTGGAAGAGGAAGGGGCCATCCCCCAACTGTTCCCACAAAGTTGGGAGCATGAAATTGTTCAAAATGTCTTGGTGTGCTGACGCCTTAAGAGTTCCACCTTCACTGGAACTAAGGGCCAAGCCCTTAGTCCCCCCACCATAATCCCCCCCTCCACCAAACTTTTCATTTGGCACAATGCAGTCAGGCAAGTACTGTTCAGCTGGCATCCGCCAAACCCAGACACGTCCATCGGATGGCCAGATAGAGAACCATGATTGGTCACTCCAAAGAACACGTCTCCACTGTTCTAGAGTCCAGTGGTGGCGTGCTTTACACCACTGCATCCAACGCTTTGCATTGCACTTGGTGATGTAAGGCTTGGATGCAGCTGCTCAGCCATGGAAACCCATTCCATGAAGCTCTCTACACACTGTGGTTGTGCTAATCTGAAGGCCACATGAAGTTTGGAGGTCTTTAGCTATTGACAGTTGGTGACTTCTGCGCACTGTGCGCTTCAGCATGCACTGACCCCGCTCTGTCATTTTACGTGACCTACCACTTAGTGGCTGAGTTGCTGTTGTTCCCAGTTGCTTTCACTTTGTTATAATACCACCAACAGTTCACCGTGGAATATTTAGTAGCAAGGAAATTTCACGGATGGACTTATTGCACAGGTGGCAACCTATCACAGGACCACGCTTGAATGCACTGAGCTCCTGAGAGCGACCCATTCTTTCACAAATGTTTGTAGAAGCAGTCTGCATGCCTAGGTGCTTGAATTTATACACCCATGGCCATGGAGGTGATTGGAACACCTGAGTCCAATCATTTGGAGGGGTGTCCCAATACTTCTGGCAATATAGTGTATATCTAGACCTGAGTGTGACAATAATGAGGTCTGATGAACCCCAAACCGAGTCAAGAGAATGGGGATTGTACTAAACATTCTTTTCTCTAAAATGTGCATATTAGCCACAGATGATTAGATGTAAAATCTTGTGTGTAAAAAAAAAAACAGTTCTAGAAATAAGGTTGGCAATCATAAATCAGATTAAAACATTCTAGTCACATCATCTTTGACAGGACAAGGACCTAATGTCATTAAACTCATTAGCAGAAGTCTGGCAAGCCAGAGCACTAATAGTCGTTTGACCAGAAACCTTTAATTAAGCGCCACCATAAAATTGCTATGCTATAAAACCTCTAGCAGAGCTTAAAGGGTAACTCCTCTGTCATGAAAAAAATCTAGTAAATACAATTTAAAAAAAATATAGAATTTACAATTCCTAAACAAGCCACATTGTAATTGAATGTTATTGAAAACGACCTTTCCTTTTAAATCTGCACCTGTTGTAGTTATCTGTAAAATTCAATGGCAACCTGGAAGCATTCTGTCACAAGGCAATTTCCTGCTTTTGTGATTGGCTCACTGATTTTCCCAGAAGTTTGCATTAAAACAGCCAGCAGCGCTGACCTGTGTATTCTGATGGTGGGCAAGTCTCCTGCTGTCAAAATACAAAGGCACAACAGGGATGATTACCCCATTCACCTCAAATGTGTGGATGGGGAAATTGAGTTTCTTTTATTTTTTTTCATTTCAGCCCGCTGGTTGAGCAAAAAAAAATAAATTAACCTATCTTTAAAATTTTTTTTAGTAAAGAATCTATGAACTGTTTAAGAGTTATCACTGTAAGACAGCAATTATGTTATTGGCAGGACCACAAGATGAAAAATAAAGGAAAAAATCCTAAAAAAAAAAGACACGAATGCAGCAACTATATATAAAGACTGTAATATGTAACATTTTTGTTTTTAGGGTTAGATACACTTTAAGGTCATTTCAGTGAACATTCTGATTTTAGCTTGTTGTCTGCAATCATTCTATGAAGCCCAACTCTAAGCATAGTAAAAACCTATGTCTCATTGTCTTTCCCACACAAAAAAAGCGACTAGACATGTGCAATTTATTTTGAAGTAGAAATTGGACACAATTTTCATTATTGGATGTATCCGAATTTCCGAATAACAATAGTACCAAATTTTAACAAATTCAAAACAAATATAATGAAAGGAATTATCCAAATTTGAATGAAAAATGGAACCATATTGCAGTAAATATGGTAAGCTATAAAAATGAAATAGGATGATGATTACTACTTAAGCTGCTTTACAGAGTAGAAAACAGTAGAAAAGAATAGAATAGAAAATAAAAGAATATAAATAGAGTAGAAAGGAATAGAAAAAATAGAATAGAACGAATATAACCGTCTTCTGAAACTCAAATTTTGAATTTTAAATTAAATTTCGAGTTGATTTGAAAATAACAAATGTACGAAAATGAATTAAAAAATACGAAACTAATTCTGAAAACGAAACATTCTAACATAACAAATATGACAAAATGAAATTATTAACCTAACGAATGAATCCAGAACTAAAAAATTTTTTTCTTTCAAGCACATCTCTAAAGCTGACCACTATGCTGCATTTGATTTTTTTATTATCTTTAGACAATGTAATGTCATCACAGTCAAGTATTTTCATATTCTTAAACTATTCTAGAAGTAGTTGTAAAGCCTGAAGTTTTTTCACCTTCATGCATTCTATACTTGAAGGTAAAAACTTTCTGTGTGCTGCTCCCCCCACAGCCCCCCCCCCAAAACTCTCTTGAGCCCCCTCTCAATCTAGCAATGTGCACGGGAGCCTTCGCAGTCCCATAACTCCCTCATTGGCTCCCACTGCTGTCAATAACAGCCAGTGAACCAATGAGAAGAGAGCGAGGGCGGTGTCTTTTGAGCAGGCTCAGAAGTGGGCACACACGACTGGCCCCATAGCAAGTGGCTTGCTTTTGGGGGGCATAGGTGAAGGGGGATTCAAGAAGAGGAGGATCAGAGCTGCTCTGTGCAAAACCACTGTACAGAGCAGGTAAATATGACATGTTTGTTATTTTTTTGCTTAAAATGCCGAACCTTTAATATCACTTTAACAAACATCAAATGGGCTTTAACGAGCAGCTCGTCCCTCCGGTGGACGCCATATGGCGTCCTTTCAGGCATGCGTAGTGCGCCTGCCCGCAGGGCCGCTCTGCGGCGCGATCTGTCACCAGCCATGTACCGCGGACACGGCCAATGACAGATCTGTGTACCGCCCCCCTTTTCCAGTACCATGTGACCTGCTGTGAAAAAAAATTACAACTTCAAAAAACTTGCCATGCCTCTTATGAAATAAGTTGGACTGTCTACTTTGCAAAAAGTGGTTATTTGGGGGATATCTGTACTGCTCTGGCACTCCTGGACCTCAAGAAATTAGTTTGGCCATCAGTACTTCAGGATTCAATTTTATGAATTTCAATTTTCAGATATATACCATAGTTTTTGAACTCTATAACTTTCCTACAAACTAAATAATACATCCTAATTTGGGTTATTTTCACCAAAGAAATGTAGTAGAATACATCTCGGCCTAAATTTATGAAGAACAATTATTTATTTGCAAACTTTTATAACAGAAACAAAAAAAAGTGTTTTTTTTTTTTCAAAATGTTTGTTTTTTGTTAATTTAGCAAAAAATAAAAACCCCAGTGTTGATTAAATACCACCAAAAGAAAGCTCTAGTTGTGTGAAGAAAATTATAAAATTTTAGTTTGGGTACAATGTTGTATGACCGAGCAATTGTCATTCAAAGTGTGAGAGCGCTGAAACCTGAAAAATGGCCTGGGCAGGAAGGGGGTAAAACTGCCCGGTATGGAAGTGGTTAAAATAGACCCTCGCTGACTGCCCTCTGTAGCTACAGGCATCTCACTTATTTATACATGTTTACACATTGGGGATTCCTCCTACTCTGATGGTGGGGCACATCTTATCCTTTTTAATAAATGATGTACATATTAAAGTATTTTTGTATGCCTTTATGTGTGTCGTAATAAAGTTTGCTAATTTTATTTGTTTGGGAAGTTTATGGGATAACGATAAAGTCCCTGTTTGTCAACAATTTTCTCTGTTGACTCTCTTTCTGGGATGTACTCCTACTCTGTATTTACAACAGAGACTGAAGTTTGGAATGCTGCTGTGTTAGTACTGGGATGGGGGAGCCCACCGAGCTGAACTGTCAGAAATAGGTACTCGGACAATTTCTGTGCCTCTGTTGTGAACTTTGAGGATGAATTTGAGGATGAATTACTCTACAGTGCCTGCAGCTGCAGCAGGATGTGAAGTTTTGTTTTAACTCAAATTTACTTCATGTTAAGACTATATACTGTATTTGTCGCTCCATAAGATGCACCTAACCATAAGACGCACCTAGATTTTAGAGGAGAAAAACGAGAAAAAAAATATTCTGAAGCAATGGATTGCAGACATAGTACAGGAGATGACCAGAGACTGCATACATAGTACAGGAGATGACCAGAGACTGCAGACATACTACAGCAGATGACCAGAGACTGCGGAAATACTACAGGAGATGACCAGAGACTGCGGAAATACTACAGGAGATGACAGAGACTGCGGACATAGTACAGGAGATGACCAGAGACTGCAGACATACTACAGGAGATGACCAGAGACTGTACATAGTACAAGAGATGACCAGAGACTGCAGACATAGTACAGGAGATGACCAGAGACTGCATACATAGTACAAGAGATGACCAGAGACTGCATACATAGTACAAGAGATGACCAGAGACTGCAGACATAGTACAGGAGATGACCAGAGACTGCATACATAGTACAGGAGATGACCAGAGACTGCATACATAGTACAAGAGATGACCAGAGACTGCAGACATAGCACAGGAGATGACCAGAGACTGCATACATAGTACAGAGATGACCAGAGACTGCATACATAGTACAAGAGATGACCAGAGACTGCAGACATAGCACAGGAGATGACCAGAGACTGCATACATAGTACAAGAGATGACCAGAGACTGCATACATAGTACAAGAGATGACCAGAGACTGCAGACATAGTACAGGAGATGACCAGAGACTGCATACATAGTACAGGAGATGACCAGAGACTGCATACATAGTACAAGAGATGACCAGAGACTGCAGACATAGCACAGGAGATGACCAGAGACTGCATACATAGTACAAGAGATGACCAGAGACTGCATACATAGTACAAGAGATGACCAGAGACTGCAGACATAGCACAGGAGATGACCAGAGACTGCATACATAGTACAAGAGATGACCAGAGACTGCATACATAGTACAAGAGATGACCAGAGACTGCAGACATAGTACAGGAGATGACCAGAGACTGCAGACATACTACAGGAGATGACCAGAGACTGCATACATAGTACAAGAGATGACCAGAGACTGCAGACATAGTACAGGAGATGACCAGAGACTGCAGACCTTTGGGGAGTGGGGGGGGCTGGTACCCCAATTTCACAGGTACCCGCTCCCACTTCCACGGAGTTGTCCACCCCGTAGTCTTGTGGGACACATGACAGGTCCCAGAAGACTACAGGTGGCCACAAAGCGCAGCGCAGTGGGGACCAGGTTGTGAATCCGTGAGCTGTCACAGCCAGGTGCCCACACTGAAGATGCTGGCGCCAGGGAGAGAAGATGGCTGGTGAAAGCAGGACACCGCTGGACCGATGAACAGGTAGGACCGAGGAGCAGGTTCTTCTGCATAGTAGAGCCGAGCGGCCGGCCTGGTATTCTAACACAACTGCTGCGGGAATACAAGTCCGGCCGCTGCATATTTTCTCCATAAGACGCACAAACATTTTCCCAAATTTTTGGGGAAGAAAAAAGTGCGTCTTATGGAGCGAAAAATACGGTAAGTCCTTGAATTTCCATAGCATTAGCAAAAATTCACTTTAAATGTCAGTGCCTTATGGCAAACACAGCTCTGCCCTTTCTCCTTCAAAAATGATCCCTTTGTTAATTTCCTCTAAGCCTTCAGGTAGACTTGTCTTCCGTAAGGTACCCAACACTATCATTATTTCTGAGATCCAACTCAGCTGTTGTTAAACTACTAGCACACGGATGCACTGCCATTTTCAGCGCACTTCAATAGAAAGAGCTTCAATCCCATAAATCAATAAAATGGCTGAACAAATCACACCATCCATTTCGCCTACGAGCTGTTTCACTTTCCAAGCTAACAAATCTCCCGGGGAGCCTTTTCAACCATTCTGTGAATAAATGGCTACATTTTTCATGGCTAAAATGTTTATTAATTTAGCGATTTTAATATTTGACTTGTTTTCTAGCAACTTTCAGGTGCCATCGTATCATGGGATATCTGCCTTGCATAGGATATCAGTGAAGGCTGATTCATTATACAGACATGTATGTCAGAGGTCTCCAACCTTTGTTAGCTCATTAGCTGCATACATTTAGTAGAACCGGTGGTGAACAACAATAATGTAATAGTAATACATCTTCTACTACCAATAATAATAATAATAATAATAATAATAATAAAAAAAAAATAATACTCAAAGCAGAACTTTAGCTAGATAAAAACAAAAATATTTTAACACAGACAAACATTCTCCTAAAACAGTGAATATTTAAATCAGATTTTTTTTTTCTATTTTCATTTTTTTATGAGAAACCACATGCCACCTATGCTGAGTCAAATTTTGCATAGCAATCTATAGTGCTGAAAGATGTGTATATAAAGCATGCTGAACAACAATGTACAGTTGACAATTCTTTGACCAACATACAAAACAAAAGTAATCCAATGTATAAAGACAAAATGGAAAACCATATTATATGACTAAAGGTTTGTGGATACCTGACCATCACCAGGCCATGGAATTGCTGGACATTTTAAAGGAGTGGAACCCTACCTCTCACATCACAAGCACTGCTCTTTGTATCATTCACCCCCCTCAGAGAATAGGTGAAGAGGACGGACCCTGTCACATGACCAGTCTGAAGACATCTGGAAAAAGTGAAAATACAAAAATGACATAAAATATTGCATGAGGTGCCTTTGGGAGGCAGGGGAAGAGCACTGGGGAAGGGGGGGGGGGGGGTCCAGAGACTTGGGAGGACGGGGGGGGGGAAGTTCAGAGAGGCAGGGAAGGAGTATATGTGGGGGGGGGGGGGATTCCACAGACCACCAATGGACATTAAAATGGAACTAAAATGTATCAGGGCACCACAAACTGAAAATGGAACCGAATTCATTTTAGTATTCTAAGCATGTTTATCTATCCATCCATGTCTCCATGCTTTATTTTGTTGAAAAATCACTTTGAAAAATAACCCCTAGTATTTTTAGCTACCAGAGCCATCTTGAGTAAGGCTCAAGTATCTGCCCTTAGCTCAGGCATGCAGGCAGCGGGGGGTGTGCTTAACTAAGAAAAGCTCCTCCTACAAATAAAAGAAAAAAATGCCAATTAGACAACTGTATTTTATCATTTTGGTCTAGAAACCAGGAAGCAACTGAAGAAATGTAAAAAAAAGTTTAAAACAAAAAATCTATTTACTAATACTAACAGCATAGGGATTAAAATAAGTTAAAGCGTGTAGCAATGAGCAGGGTGACGGTTCTTTATCTTGTCCTCCATGTTTTCCAGTTACCTCATTGGGCGCCCAATCTGGGAAACATGAGAGGCCTTCTGGGTTCTTCTGGGCTACGCTATGCACTTTAGACAGGGTCTCTCGCTCTACTTCACACACATGGGGTAGCTTTGCTTTAGTGCAGTTTTCACCAATGCCCTGGGACAAGCCTAAGGTTGCCTTCAGTGGATACTCAACCTTAAGGTGGGCCTCTACTCTTAGAAATGAATGCACACAATACACTTGTACAATAACTGTTCTTCAGTTACACCCGGGTCCTCATGTAAATGTACATCTTCCCACTGTAGTTTGCAGTTAGGCAGGCCATGCCAAACACTGACCACAGTCATGTCCAGCATTTCCCACTGCCGGTCCTGGTAGCAACATGGAACCCCACCGTGCACATAGCGCGAGCTCCAACGTGCACTTGACTTTAACACTTGAACTTCCTAACCTCTGTACAGTATTGGGACCTCTGCAATGCAGTTCCACTCCGGTTGCTGTGGGAGAAGGAATGCAGTATAGGGAGTGCCGACAACATCTGTCTCACAGCTAGAGGCAATTCCACCTATTACAGGCACATGTTCCGACGGGCTGCTTGCTAACTGTACCTTCATTGCTCATAGCAACCCCATGTATAACTTGCACTAGAATGACTGTTAATGTGCTAACTCTTCACACCCCGTGTGCTAGTGACCCAAGCTGTAAACTAAGTGTGAAGCTGAGCAACTGGCTTGTATTGCACCCCTTTTCAAAGGACTTCAGACCAGGCAGATGATAACATTTCAAAGACTTTACTTAAAGTGTTACTAAACCCACAACAGTAAAATCAGTCTCTAATATGCAGTAAAAAAAAATGCTTGTTATACTCAATGTGGAACCTAAGAGTTTAATCTTCTGCATTGTTTTAAAATGCTGTTTGATCCTGACTCCTCCAATCCTCCCCTTCTTCCAGTGTCTCCCTCTTGTCTCCTGATAAGACATATGGTGTGGAGACACTCTGCACATGCTCAGTGTAGTGTGTATTGCTAGAGAGGTTTTTTTTTCTTGTGAGAGATCATGTGATCAGCACAGAGCCAATATGCACTGTCCAGACAGAAGTCAGGCACTGCATCCTCCTAGAGCAGGAAGAAAACTCTTCCTACCAGTGCTCTGCTGGACACAGAAGTCACATGACTGCTCTAACTGCTCATGAGAAAAACATATTTAGCAGTGTATATTTACTAAAATAATGTCATTTGCATGTTCTGTGTACTGTGGGAGACCAGATAGAGTGAATGCAGGGTCCTGGGCTTAGTAACACTTTAAAGGATTAGTTCACCTTTGGAAATATGGTACATGTTCCAACCATTTTTAGGGTGGTCCATGTAACATGTTCCCACTCCTGCAGCTGCTGCCCACCTCGCTGCATCTAGTGACAGCTTTCGGGGGATCACCTCCCTCCAGCTGTCATTATTTTTTTTTAAATGAAGCCATGTGGGACTCAGCCCACCCGGCCGCATCATTCATTTACAGGATTCTGTGAATGGAAAACTACAAGTACCGACATCTTTTGCAGATGTAGTTCTAAATAAATGAACTACCACGGTGCTGGTGACCGCTGTGGTAGTTCATTGTCTCTTCTTGTCAGTGTGTATGTGCCTGCTCATATGAAGTACGAGCAGACAGATACAATGAAAAGTCTGCAGGAGTCCTGCAATCTGCTGATCGCAAGTGCAATGCTTTCTTTTTTTTTTTTTTTTTTTTTATTTAAATTTTATTTATTTTCCATATATATTGCACATTTCATCATTATTCTCATACAAATTTACATATCTTTAATAACATTTCTAACTATCTTTATTCCCATTTACCGCCCCCCCCCCCCCCTCAATCTAATTTCCCCCCCGCCCGAGTTTAAAAAAAAAAAAAAAAAAAAAAAAAAAACCCTCCCCCCATATAAACCCACCCACTCTGCATAATTCGATTATCCCTCTTCATACGCGAATATAGGGTATGTAAATCCTTCTATCTTTCTCACATAGTTACTTCATATATTTCTCCATGTATTCTTCCCATGTTCTCCACCTCTTATAGAACAATCCCATCCTGTCTTCCTGCATATAACACAGTCTCTCCATCTTACAAATTTGATTAGTTCTTTCCACCCAATCCTCTATCTTAGGCACCTCTGGTCTATGCCAAAACTTAGGTATCAACCCCTTCGCCGCATTTAGATAGCACCATATACCCGAATCCTTGTACTTATTTACTGATAACTCTGTACTATGTAGTAGACATACTGCTGGGTCCAGTCCTATCTTTATCCCGGAGATATTCTCAATTAATTGGACAATTATCTCCCAGAAACCTTGAATCTTTGGGCACTCCCACCATATATGATATAATGTGCCTATTTTTCCACATCCCCTCCAGCACTCTAGTGAATTTTCCCCACATATCTTATACTCAACATTCGGTGTAATGTGCCATCTCGTTAAACACTTATAATTTACCTCCACCTCTCTCATACTTATATTCTCGTGTATTAATCTATATATTTTCCTTTGTTTATCTTCATCGATCTCTATTCCCAAATCTCTTTCCCATTTACCTATATACATTGGTTTTGTGTAAGTGTCTAACTCAGTGAGGGTTTTATACATTTTTGCAGTGCCTCGCCTCCCATCACCTCGTGTTTCTAACAACCTCTCAAACAGATTCCAATCCTCTCTCGATCTCAACGGTTTTTTGGAGGTTTCTGACAAAGTGTTTTAATTGGTGATATTTCCATTCATCTATTTTAATAAAAAGTTCCCTTTTATCCCCTTTCAAATCCCCAAGTGTTCTCAATTCCTGTCCTTCCATTATGTCTCTCAGTTGGATATCTTCTTTTCTAATCCATTTCCCTGTACTTTCCTCCTTACCTGGAGGAAAATAATCCGTATTCCTCAGTGAAATTAATTGTGAGTTAAACTCCCATTTCATAAATTTATGCAATTTATCCCAAACTTTAAAAACATTTAATGTAAAAACACTCGTGGTATCTTTTAGCCCTCTATATTGTGCTGGTGCCCATATAATTCTATTCAAGGTAACTCCACT